GACATGAACAGGCAGTTTTCAGATGCAGAAATTAAAACTATCTATAGTCATATGAAAAAAAAATGCTCTAAATAACTATTGATTAGAGAAACACAACTTAAAAGAACTCTGAGGCACCACCACATACCTATTAGATTGGCTAACATGACAAAAGAGGAAAATGATAAATGCTGGAGAAGATGTGTAAAAATTAGAACACTAATGCATTGTTGGTAGAGTTGTAAACTGGTACAAAAATTTAGAACTCAACATCTTATAAAAGTGAATGTTGAAAACTAATAATTAATATTTTGTATTAAAAGAATGAAGTACAAACAACAATCTGTGAGTAGCAGTAGCTGCCCCACTGGGGAACCAACTGTTCAGTTCCACTTGGGCAATTCTCCTTCATCTCTCCTCCCTTCCTCATTTCCTCCATATGATGAGTCATATACTTACAAATGGGTGGTCTGAATTCATGCCCTGAATCCTAACCGAAGGGGTAAGAATGTCAGGGGCCAACCTGGCTCCAGCTGGTTTTGTCTACAGGGAAAAATTCCAAGGTGTGGGTTAGTTGGTTTTGTTTGTTGTTTATCCTTCTTTCTGGAAGAGGACCAATGACATCAAGAGGGGACAGCTTGACTTGCCAGTGAATTGGATCTAAGTGAGGCAGAGCTGTGCAGAGACATCAGCCTCACTTTCTCCTCCAGAGTCATCAGAGGTCAGTGGCAAGACATAGGTCAAGATGACTGGCACAGTGGCCCCAGATGCAGTGGAAAGAGATGTCTTTCCCAGGTCTCAGTTTTTCTTTTCTCTTTCTCAGGGTCCATCTCCAGTCATCCTGATCTATGTCTCCCCACTGAACCTAGACGGCTCTCCAGGAGAGAGTGAGGCTAGTGACTTAAATCTAATGGACTTGCAAGTCAAGACGTCATCTTCCTGATGTAATTAATCTCTTCAAGAGCAAAGGATGAACAAGAATCTGTGAAGAGGAGTAGCTGCCCCACTGGGGACCCAAATATCCAGTTCCAGTTAGGCCATGTTCCTTCTTTCTTTCCTTCCTTCCTTCCTTAATTTTTCTTCCTCCCTTGCTCCCCATGGGAATATAAATTGCTTGAGATTAAGTTCTGGAAAACCAGGCTTTGATAAAACCCATTCAGATTCAAATAGAGCTACTTCTCTAAAACTTATAGATAAATCACTCTGGTTCTCACTGGCCAATAAGTCGTCCCTGCCCAAACCTTTCTAAGTCACTGTTGGGTTTTGATAGCACTGTGGTGCTCACAGGCTGCATTCCACTGTTGATTGGCATGGAAACTTTCTAAGTGGAGGAAAGGAGATGATGGACTTTAATAGGAAAAAGGCACCTGAATAACCATTTTGGTCCTTTTCACCTCAGTTTCCCTATGTACAAAATGAAAGGTTGAGACCACCAATCTTTTTATTTTTCTTTTTAGTTTTTGAAAGATATAACAGAAACACAGAAGAAAAGAATAAACTTCTCTCCTCAACAGCTCAGGGGACACATTCTCCCTGTATCACCTAGTCGATCATAGATTCTCCAAAGTCCCCCCCCCCCCAACTCCATATCATTGTGGGATGACTGACTTTGATAGGCTTGGCTCTTCTCAGCAAAGCAAGTATCTAAGGCAACTACAAAATCTCATGATGGAAATTGCTATCCATACCCAGAGAAAGAAGTATAGAGTCTGAATGCAGATGGAAGCATAGTATTTGCTCTCCTTTTCCACTGTTGATTTCTTTCATTGCTTCATTCTGGTGGTTCCTCCCATTAGTTCTAATGGTTCTTTACAACATGACTAATGGGAAAATATGCCTAACATGAATTTATATGTACAGCCAATATCTGCCTTCGGGGTGGGGGAGTTGGGGAGAGGAGAAAAAAGAGGAGGAGAAAATTTAAAACTCAAAACTTTATGGAGATGAATGTTGAAAACTAAAAATAAATCAATTATTAAAAAATAAGAGGAAACTGTAAATGATCCAGGGGAATGGGCCTGGACTCACAGCTCTGCTTGCTTTTCCCCAGTCAGGATAAACAACTTGGATGGAACAGTCCCTAAAGTTTTTGAGGCAACCTCATCTATAGGATGGATTCAGTCTCTCTCCTCACTCTAGGAACAAAACTTTCAGGCAAGACTAGATCTCCTGTCCTTGCCACCCCTTGGTAGTCACTTGCCCATCTTCCCAGAGAACTGGGCCATCAGCACGGGGGATAACCATCCTTAACTTCCATAAGACTTCTAATGAAAATGTAAATGAAAAGAAATATAAGGGGGAAAGGATAGAAAAAAAGGGAGAAAAAAAGAAATTTACATGATAACTTCTTTGTATATTTGATAGGAATAGCAAGTTGCGCATAGTAGATTTGTAGTTTTAAGTACAAACATCTTTTTATCCTACCACATTGTAGAAATGCTTGTTTCATTCCATAAATATGTATTAATGTAATAAAAAAATAAAAGGGATTAAGGAAAGCATGAACTGTAAGAAAGGAGGTTGAGGGAGGGGCAGGGAGAAAGTATCCTGAAAAGTCTGCTTGTTTAGGGGGTGAATTGGATAGAATGTCCAGACTGAAGTCAGGAAGATTTATCTTCCTGAGTTCAAAGGTGGCCTTAGATACTTACTATCTGTGTAACCCTGAGCATGTCACTTAACCCTCTTTGCCTCAGTATCCTTATCTAGAAAAATTATCTGGAGAAGTAAATGGTAAACCACTCCAGGATCTTTGTTAAGAAAACCTCCAATGGGGTCATGAAGAATCAGACATGACTGAAACAACTAAACAACAATGCACTTTCAACTATAGTTGGGCTTCACACAAACAAAACAATTTAAGGCAGCTAGGTGGTGCAGTGGATAGAACACTGGGTTTTGAGTCAAGCAGACTCTAGTTCAAATTTTGCCTCAGATACCTACTAGCCCTGTGACCCTGGGCAAGTCACTTAACCCTGTTTGCCTCAGTTTCCTCAGCTGTAAATGAGCTGGAGAAAGAAATGGCAAACTGCTCCAGTATCTTTGCCAAGAAAACCCCAAATGGGGTTGTAAAGAGTTGGACACAATGGAAAAGACTAGAAAACAAAACATTATAAGTACTTTAAGGTTTGCTAAACACATTACATATATTAACTGATTGGATCCTCACAACAGCATAGGTGCTATTATTATCCCCATTTTACAGATGAGAAAACTCAAATGTGGAAAAGATAAGTGACTTGCCCGGGGCCACACAGCTTGTACCCTAATCAATGTACCAGCTAGCTGTCGAATTAGAGCTAAACAAATATGGCACATGAATGGAATGGAATATTACTGCATCATAATAAATGAGGAATATGAAGATTTCAGAGAAACTTGGGAAGACTTATATGAACTTAAAGTAAGAACTAAGAAAGCAATACATACAATGAATAACAACGTAATTATTAAGAATTAAACAGTGAAACTGAATGTGGTGTAACTATTATGATCAAACTTCCCCCTAAAGAGGAGCAGAGGAAATACACCTCCTTTCCTTCATTGCAGAGATGGGGGATGATGGCTGTGGAATATTGTATACACTGTCAGAATCAATTGATATATTAGTTACTTTTACTGAAAAACTTTTTTTTTAATTTTTCATGACAAAAGGTGGTTTTCTGGAAAGCGGGAGGGAAATTCAGAAATGAAGATGACAAAAAAACAAAAAATTAATTCAATGTTTAAGTCAAGGGCAGGATTTGAACTCTGGCCTTCCTGACTCCAAAAGCAATATTCTAGCCACTAGGCAACACTGCCTTCCTAGGTAGAAGAGAGGCAGAATGGTTTAACAATCATAGCACTGGACTTAAGACATCAAAAGACAGTGTTTGAACTCCAATTATGTCATTTTGGGGTCAGGTGACCATGAATAAGTCAAAACCTCACATTCCTCATCTATAAAATGGGGCAAAAGCATTTATATAGCACCTACTATGTGCCAGGCACTGTGCTAAGCACTTTACAACTATTATCTCCTTTGATCACCACAATAACTCTGCAGTTATCTCCATTTTATAGATGAGTGAACTGAGGTAAACAGAGGTTAAGTGAATTTCCCTAGGGTGACAAGAGTAATATTTGAGATTAGATCTGTAATCTGGTTTTCCTGATTCCAAGCCTACCTCTCTATCCACTGGTCTATCACCTGCCCCAAATGAGAATAATCATAACATCTACTTCACCTTCCTTAAAGGATGGAAAGGACTTTGTAAATTGGCAAATGCCATTTATACTGAAGTTTTTGCTATACTCAGACAAGTCTGTGATGAACTCAAAGATTGCCACTGAGTCACAGAACAATGGGAATTAGGAGCAGATTGTAGCATTTCAAGAGGGTAAAGAGACTGGGAAAAACAGAGGGCAGGTAGAGGTAATATGTTCATAAGGTTTATCAATCAATCAGTCAAAAATATTTATTAAGCACCTTTTAGAATCCATAGGTTCTTTCAAACCTCAGCTCAAGTGCCACTCTCTACATCAGAAAGTGGCATCACCTTCCCTCTGAAAATCCCCTCATGTTTATTTTGCAGATGCTTAGATATGAATATGTTGATTACCCAGATGTAATGTAGCCCTAATGTCTAGCACAGAGGAATCACTTAATAAATTCCTAGTTGAGGGAGTGAGTGTTGACAGTCATCCTTAACAAGTGTCATTGCCATGAATCCTAACAGAAGGGTTAAGAATGTCAGGGGCCACCCAGCTGGTTTTGTTCATAGGGAAAGATTCCAAGGTGGGGGCTGGTTGGTGTTTGTTATTTGTCCTTTCTGAAAGAGGACCAATGACATCAGGAGGGAGACGGCTTGACTTGCCAGTGAATTGGATTTAAGTGAGGCAGGGCTGTGCAAAGTCATCAGCTTCACTCTCTCCTCCAGAGTCATCAGAGGCCAGTGGCAAGATATAGGTCAAGATGACTGGCACAATGGCCCCATATGCAGTGGAAAGAGACGTCTTTCCCAGGTCTCAATTTTTCTTTTCTCTTTCTCAGGTCTCAGGGTCCATCTCCAGTCATCCTGATCTGTGTCTCCCCACTGAACCCACATGGCTCTCCAGGAGAGAGTGAGGCTGGTGATTTTGTACAGCCCTACCTCACTTAAATCTAATGAACTTGCAAGTCAAGACATCATCTTCCTGATGTAATTAATCTCTTCAAGCCAAAGAATGAACAAGAATCTGTGAAGAGGAGTAGCTGCCCAGGTCCAGTTAGGCAATGCTCCCTCTTTCTTTCCTTCCTTCCTTCCTCAATTTTTCTTCCTCCCTTACTCCCTTTCTCCCTTCCTCCCCATGGGGAATCATACACTTGCATTTGGGTGCTCTGACCAAAGGAATATAAATTGCTTGAGACTGAGTTCTAGAAAATGAGGTTTTGATAAAACCCATTCAGATTCAAATGGAGCTACTTCACTATGACTTATACACAAACCATTATGGTTCTCACTGATTTGTCAATAATAAGTCCCTGCCCAAAACTTTCTGAGTCACCGTTTAGGTTTCCATGTCCCAGAGTAATTGTAAATGGCAATTGTTCCTCTATAGAACAGAAAGCCTGAGGGTCTTTACCCCCCAAATTGTTTTGTGACTTTATCTGCCCATATCACCAGGCTGGAAATACTATGGGTGCTCATAGGCTGGATTCCACTGCTGATTGGCATGGAAACTGTCTGACTGGAGGAAAGGAGATGATGGACTTTAATAGGAAAAAGGCACCTGAATAACCATACTGTTGCTCTTGGCCTCAGTTTCCCCATCTACAAAATGAAAGGTTGAAGCCACCAAACTTTTTTTTTCTTTTTAGTTTTTGAAAGATATAACAGAAATACAGAAGAGAAGAATAAACTTCTCTCCCCAACAACTCAGGGGACACATTCTCCCTATACCACCTAGTAGACCATAGAATCTCCAAAGTCCCCTCCATCTCCATTTCATCTAAGCCTGTGTCCTTAGCTAAGAGTCCCTAAATATTGTTGGTTCCTTGGTCTTAGTTTTCTTTCTAACTCAGCTCCTTCCTTTGTTTCTTAATTTTCTTCTTTGCATAGGCACTGATCAACTCTTGGTCTCTAGACTCAGAGCCATCTGATCTCTCCTGGGAAGAGAGCCCCTCACCCCTTTCCTTACCACCCTTCTTACCATTTGTAACCACAATTGGCCACCTGTCACAGCCACCACCATGTCCAGTCTAAGACAGGTGCATTTAATAGAGCCATAAATACAGAGGCCACATGAGGTCATGCCTTCAAGGAAATACAATTGGGCCACTCCCTCCATGTGCATATAACCACTCCTGGGGTCCTTCAGTTCAGGCAGGACCAGCACTGTTTTGCCTGGTGATATCCAGGGCACCTTCTCAAACCCAGTCTGAGATAAAAATATCTCCCATCAGCCTCCCTATAAACTCAGAGCTCTCTGCCTCCACCTCTGCAAGGGTCACAATGCTCTCCCAGTCCTTGCTCCTCTGGCTGCTACTGCTCTGGCCTCAAGGTAAGGCTTCCAGTGAGCTATAATTTGGCATCATTTTAGAGATGGAAGGAGCTTTCCAGTGGGCATCTCTGACACAGTCTGAGGGTAAGGGAACTACTCCTGCATTCACTGTCTCTACACAGGATTCTTCATTCCCTGAAATCTCTTCATCAGAATCCCAGGCAGCCATTGTATTGATCCAGTCCCCAGCCTCCCTGTCTGTGGCTCCAGGGGACAGAGTCACCATCAGCTGCAAGGCCATTTCCAGCGTTAGCAAGTGGATGCCCTGGATCCAAAAGAAACCAGGACAGGCCCCCAAGCTCCTGATCTATGATGCTTCCTCCCTGGAATCTGGAGTCCCTGCCAGGTTCAGTGGCAGTGGTTCTGGGACAGATTTCACCTTCACCATCAGTGCACTTCAGGCTGAGGATGTGGCAGATTATTACTGTTCTCAGTATTATAATGCTCCATTCCCACAGTGTTTCAGCCCTGAACAAAAAACCTCTTCAGGCTGCTCAGCCCTTCAGCACAGGGGAGCAGCTGCTTCCCCAGAGTCACAGGCTTGCCCCAACCACTGGCCTCAGGGGAGAATTGGGCCCAATTTTGCCCTGCTGCAGGAGCCATTTGTCCCAGGGACCCTGGTCCAGGTAGAAAGATTAAGAAGAGAGAGAAAAAGGTGGAAGACAAAGAATCTTCTGACTGGGATGCTTTAGCCAAAGACCACAAACCTTTCCAGGGGGCTGCTTCCAGGAGCTGGTCTCATTCTTACTCTGCCCTCCTAGGTGAAAACAATGTGATGGCCACGGATCGAGTGGGAGAGAGATCTTTCCCAGGTCTGTTTTGCATTTCTCTTTCTCAGGTCTCAGAGGCCACCTCCAGTCAATCTGATCAATATCTTGCTACTGGACTCAGATGCCTCTGGAGGAGAAAGTGAGGCTAGTGACTTTGCACAGCCAGGCCTCACTTCAAACCAATTCACTTGCAAGTCAAGACATCACCTTCCTGATGCCATTGGTCTCTTCAAGAATGAAGGATGAACAACAATCTGTGAAGAGGAGTAGCTGCCCCACTGGAGACCCAACTGTTGAGTTTCTAACTGTCAGTTAGGCAATGCTCATTCTTTCCTTCCTCCATCCATTTTTTCCTTCCTCCCCATGGAGAATCATACACTTACATTTAGGGGCATTGACCAAAGGAATATAAATTGCTTGCAACTGAGCTCTGGAAGGCTTTGATTAAGCTCATCCAGATTCAAATGGAGCTACTTCAACGTAACTTAAATCCAAATCACTCTGGCTCTCACTGATGGGCCAATAATAAGTCCCAGTCGCAGTCTCTCTGGGTCACTGTTTGAGATTTGATGGCTCAAAGGGAGTGTAAATAGCAATTGTTACTGTTCTGCACAGAAACTCTGAGGGTCTTCCCCTCCCAAACAGTTTTGAGTCTAGATCTCCATGATTGGCATGGAAACTTTGATGTGCTCTCTTTCTGATCTGGGCCAGGTGGTATGTTTTTAGGCAGCCTCCCAGGGAAGGAGACCAGGGCTTATGTTGGTGAATGAGATAGCCTCTGTGAAGACTTCTCAGGGTGGTGATGGAAAGACTGTCTCGAAACTAAAGATAGGCTCTGAGAGAATGAACAGGCCATAAGTTTAATTCGGCCCTAAACCCTCTGCTGATTGCCACTGCCAAGTCAGCATTAGGTATACTAAATAAGGACATGTATGTTTGGATTGGCTGTACCCTGTTTCCTTGCTCTTTGGGAATGGGAAAGATTTTTGCTCCTAGAATGTAAGCCTGCCTCCCAGCTAATGGGAATGGGAAAGATTCTCATGACTAGAATGTAAGCCTGCCTCTCAGCCAATGGGAGTAAGGGATAGTGGCGGGGTGGGAGTTTCTTGTTTGCGTTAAGATATAATAACCTGGCTTTGTTCTTTGTACCTGTCCTCTCTCCTGCTGGTAGTGCACTGGAGGAGTAGATGCCCCTTCTCGCGAGATTGTAATAAAGAGTAACTTTTGCTTCCGCCTTGAGAAGTCTCTGAATTTAATTGTGTTAGAGTCGCTGTACCACACAGCTTTGGAGGTCCCACTGAGATTTGCCCACCTGTGAGAGAGATCCCTAAATCTGGACCCTGAGGGTCGGGGCGCCACCAGAGATTTCTCCAACAGCCCTCAGGCCAGATTTAGGGTGCTTTCGCTCCGCTTGGGTGAGAACTCGAAGAGAGAGCTCAGGGAAGCAAAAAATGAAAGAAAGTTAAACTCAGGGCAGCAACAGGATTTTGTGAAGTTGGCCGGCCTGCCGCAGGCAGCGATTAAGGTACATTGGATCAATCACGTAAGTTGTACACGTTCAGCCTGGAGGTAAGCAGCTCTCATGTCTCCTTATTAGTGTAAGTCTCTGACCTGGAGGGAAGGCGACAACCCTCAACCAAATTCACTAATTGCTGAGTCTTTGACTCAGGGTTTTGAGGTGACTCTGCCGGACCAAATTTTTGGCAACATTGAGAAGAGCACCACGGTGACTGTGGGGAGAGGGCAACCTCTTCTGGTGACTAATTGTAATTGTTGAGTCCGTCTCTGTATCTGGGATGAAAGCGATCTCTCTAGATCAAATTCCTTTGTGTGTTGCTCATTAGTAGGAGAATCATGGGCAAGGAACAGTTTAAAATAGCAGGTCAGAAGCTGCCATTTGATATTCCAGAAGATAGCCCCTTAAGGGCTAGGTTTAGCTATTGAGATGAATTACCAAAAATATAGGGAACAAATTGAGTAATTAAGTGCACTATCAAAACAAACAAAAAAAAAGGACAAGAAAATATAAACAGGATTTGTTTTGTGACTTTGTTTCTGTTTGTCATTTGTCTGTGTGTCTGTGTAGTCTGAGACCCTGTGGGGAGTGGGGAATGCAGCTGGATTTATTACTTGGAAAAAAAATGTTTTCTTTCTTTCTCTCCCCTTCTCTCTCCCTAATTACAGCAGCCTCAGAGGAGCGGATAGATGGGAGAGAGAGAGAGAGAGACAAATACTTTATTATTTAGGTTATATGATTGGTAAAAGGAGAGTGGAGAAGGATCTTTGAAGTGTCAGGTTAGAATTAGAAAGAAATAAGATATGTGCAGTTTTGAAGGCACTTTAATCAAAGTCCATCAGAAGGAAAGGCAAGAAAGTTTAAGCATGTAGGAATGAAAGGAGTCTGGGTAGGAAGAAAAGTATAAGCTATTTGCACAAACAGTGTGAACAGAGGGTTTGAGAGTAAAAGATTTGGAAGCTTTTGGAAATTGTTGGAAAAAAAAAAAGATTTCTCTCTCTTTACATTCTACCTCTGGCAAAGTTTTTGAATGTGAAGGGAAAGACAAGAAAGAAAAGGGGAGAGTGCTTTTCTCTGGATTTGCAATTCTTATGTCCCTTCAGAGTTCAAAGCTGCCCAGGCCTTGGTGGGTGTAATTTGGGTAGAAGAATTAAAAATGAAAATTTTGCAGCTCATTGTGATTGGATATTGTTCTGTAAACTGGGCTGTTCAGTTACTTATTGGAACTCTAGAGGCCTTCTGCCTAAGGGGAGAAAATTGATTACATCTAGTTAACATTGATTCAAATTGCTGAAGCTTGAGATTCTCAGGTGGGTGGCTCTATCTGATAAGCTGCTAAGAAGGACTGGGAACTTTTTCTTAGTTCCCTTAAGGAAGTAGGAAAGAAAAGGAGAATTAGAGCAGGAATTGTCACCATGTGTATTTTTAAGGGAATATATAAATTTGTGGAAAATATTTCCTTTTAAAGGGCCAAGAGTATTGTATTTAAAACAAAAATGCTTTTAAATGTTTATCATTAGTGATTATAAATTCAGATCTGATTGGATTTAAGTTTACTGTTCTATAAAAAATATAATAATAATGGTTGTTATGAGATGTGGCATTATTAATGTTAAAAGTTAAAAGTGTAATAAGAGTAATAAGAGTGATCATTTCTATATGTGATAATATGGAAATGCAATTGATGTTATCTTAAGTTTATTGCTTAAGTTATTGCTGTATTTCTAAATTGTATTGTATTTCTAAAACTCTTAGATTGTAAAATCTGAGGAAACATTATGAGGTAGAAATGGTGTTAAGGTAACTCTTGACCTGCAGTGGGTCTTTTAGTGATAAAGATGAGATAATTTGAAAACTGTTAAATGTGTAGTGAGGTATATTTGGTTATAAGACTGTGATAGCAGATTTTATTTAAAATCTTGACTATTATAAAAATGTAAGGGGGTTTAAAGTTATAGTCTCAACATATTAGTGATGAGATGAATGATTTTCTGTACAAAGTGATTTAGAAGTACATCCATCTGAGTTGATAATGGGTTGTTTCAAAGTTTATTGCAATTGTGGAAATAATTTTATAATGTATGCCCTGTGGTAATGATGGGGTTGAAATCTGGGCCCCAGAAAGGAAAAACCCTGGACTTTCCCACATGGCCAAATCTCTGGCATTCCCCTGAGGCTATAACCCCATCAACTGGTCTTTCATCGTGGCTACACCCAATCTCCCCTC